CCTTCCCCCCCCCCCCCCCCCCCCCGCACCTGTCCTCCACCATGGTCAGGTTCTTGATGGCCACGCCGCCAATCTCCAGCCCGCTCTGCGACAGCGCGCGCTCCGCGTCCTCCTTGTTGGCAAAGGTGACGAAGCAGAAGGGGCGGCGCTTGAGAGTCTTCTTGTGGCGCGGGAAGTAGACGTCGTTCACGGTGCCCCACGCGCTGAAGTGCTGCCGCACCATCTCGTCGTTCACCTCCTGCGCAGGAAAAGGCGGCGTGGGGGAGGGACGGGGCAAGGCTAAATGCATTAGTGGTGCGCCGGGCAGTGAGAGGCCGGCCCAGAAGGGTGGGCAAAAGCCAACAGCACGCAGCGCACCTTTGGCACGTGGCCGCAAAAGAGGCGTGGGCCGGTGCCCTTGGAGCCGCCCGCCAGGGAGGGCAGGTCCAGGCTGGGCCGGCACTCATCCAGGCCCTCGTCATCAGGGATCCGCGTCACGGCCTGCAGGCACAACATGCCATGGGGGCGGGGACTCAGAGTTCAGCGGAAGTCGTGCACGGCACGGTACGAACGTGCGGCGTGCGGCGGCAGCCCCTGGAGCGCCTGCCCCCGGCGCCCTGCCGAAGCAGCGCCGGCCATACGGCCGCTTCCGTGGGCCTGATGCGGCCGATCAGAAAGGGAGGGGCGGGGGGAGGCGCAGGGGCCACCGATTGCGCGCCCTGCATTAGCGCCCTGGCTGCAAGGGCCCTTCCGCACCAGCGCCACCGGGCACCCCGACCGCTGCCTGCCCCTGCCAGTGCATCCCTGGCTGGCGACTGCCTGCTGCCAGCCACAGGCCCCAAGCGGCGGGGGCGGCCGGTGGGGACACACCTCGCTGTCGCTCTCTTGCTGGGAGCTGTTGCTGCTCACGTCCGCCAGTTCGTTTGCCGACATGCCTAGCCCGGACGAGGGGTAGAGTCAGCCGCTGTGTGGGGTGTGCGTTGTTCAGCAGCACATGGCCTTGCTTCAGCGGCACTGTGGGGAGTGCTAGGGTGTTGTATTAGGTGTCACAATCAAGTGCGAGGGTCAGGGAAGGCTATCGCGTTTCACCTCGCGATGCAAATCTGCTCTCGTTTGGCGTGGCACGCCACGCTCATCACGCTGCTGCCGGAGTGAAAGTTTTGGGGTTTCCTGGGTGCTGCTTGTGGCTTGAATAGCAGGTGACGCAACCCCCCGGCCGCCGGCCGACATGCTCGCCATGCAGTGGACAACACGGACGCACTGCACAGCGCCACACAATTCTCCCGCATGCATGCCCGTGTCCCCGCCAGCAACGCAAACGCTGGGCCGCCACGGGCCGCGTTGGCAGCGGTGGCGGCGGCACCAGGCGGGCGGCAGCCTGGCCCGCCCCCTCGCTGTGCCGCAGCCGCGTGCGAGGGCAGGGGCAGCAGGCCAGGGAGGGCATGCCACTGAACGGATCGACATTGAACAGGCGGATCCCAGGCTAGTTAGCAGCAGTGGGGGTGGCAGCAGGAGCGGCAGAGGGAGCAGCAGCAGCGGTGCGGATGCGGCGCCCCCCTCGCGCATGGAGGGGCGGTTCAGCTACAAGATGGTCAAGGCCCAGCCGGTGAGCCCCACCGCCCGCCATGCTGACTTGTGTGCTGGGACCAGAGGTTGTGGCTGGCTGGCTGTGAGCCTGGTCATGGCGCGGGCGGCAACTGCCGACTGCCTTCGCCGTCGCCGCCGCAGATGGAGGTGCTGGTCAACGAGCTGCGCTGCCGACGACTGCCGACGTGGGGAAGGAAAGACCAGATAGCATCCAGTAAGCTCTGCACCTGCAGCCATGATGCACCTCACGCCGTCAAGGCGCATTTCAGCGCAGCCTGCCGAACCATGGGCGCCTGCCGCCGCCGTGCAGGGGTGTACAGCGCGTTCAGCGCAGAGGGGCGCGCCCTGAACAAGGAGGAGAGCGCGGTGGCGGACGCGGCCCTGGGCCTGGCAGACAGCACGACCGCCGCGGGCGACCCGGGGTGGGACAGCGCGTCGAGCGGCGACGAGGAGGGCGGCACGGGCGGCGAGGTGCTGAGCAGCGCGGCGCTGCAGCACAACCCGCTGCTGGCGCTGCAGGGCAGCACGTCGGGCCAGTTCCTCACCGAGCACAACCAGGAGCGCCTGCTGTCCAACTCCACCAACCTGCAGCTCTCCTTCCTGTGGGGAGGCACCGCGCCAAACGGCATCAAGCACACCACCAGCTGCGTGGTGCGCACCATCAAGTCGGTGTGGCTGTTTGACTGCGGGGAGGACACGCAGCGCCACCTCACCAGGTGCGGGGGTCCTGGGTGCAGGGTGGGAGCTGCCGACTGCCAGCATCTTGCTACGCTCACGCACTGTTGCTGCGAGGGGCTGCTGCCTTGCTGTTACTCGCCTGCTGGCCCCAACCGTGCCTGGCTGCTCCAACTCCCTGCATGTCTGCCGCCACCGCCGCTCCTTCCCCCGTAGGAGCGCCTCCATTTCCTGGGGCAAGCTGGAGCGCATCTTCATCAGCAGTCTGTCTGCTGACAACATCCTGGGCTTGCCCGGCTTCCTGTGCACCATCAGCGCAGCGCGCGAGAAGGGGCACGAGGCCGCCGACACTCCTGTGCACGTGTACGGCCCGCAGGGGCTGGCAGACTACATCAAGTGCGCGGGTGGTGGAGGGACGCCAAATGCAGCTCAGCAGTGGTTGGCCAAGGCGGCTGGCAGCTCCCTGCAGACCACAGTGCTCTGTGCTCAGCCTGCGCCTGCCATGCCTCCTCTGCTCTTGCTCCCTGATTCATCATGCATGCTCTCCATCTCCTCACCCAGCCCGCGCCGCCGCACCTCCGCCTCCCGCCCGCAGCACGATGCTATCTGTGTCTCGCACCTACCTGGAGATGCCTGTGGTCATCCACGAGTTCTCGGCGGCGGCAGTTCCGCCAGAGGAGCTTGAGGAGCTGAAGCAGATCAACCCGCGTTCCCGCCTCTACGTCATGCGCGTGCCGCCTGACCAGCTCAACCCTGAGGGGTGAGGCGGCGGGATGGAGCGGGGCGCCTGGGCTGGTGCTCACAGGCTCCGCATGCCATCTTTCCTCTCGCCTCACTCATGGCCGGTGCCTCCTTTCCCCTGCGGTACCGTCTGCAGGTACTATGACGCCGAGATCCGCACGCTGCTGGCCCGCCACACGCGCAAGCGCAGCAATTCTGGCATCGACCTGCGGGCGGGCGTGATGCCGCAGCCGCTGCCGCCGCCCGGCGACCCGCGGCGCACGGGGCTGCGGGTGGCCGACCTGACCTGGACGCTACGCATGGATCATGAGTGGGTGGTGCGCGTGGCACCGCTGAGGAACAGGCAGCCCACGTTTGGCTACATGCTGCTGGAGGCAGATAGGCACGCCCCGCCTGCGCCGTGCTTGGTGGGGTGCAGGCAGTGGTGCAGCATCAGATATGGCACAAGGGGGCACCCACCCACCCACAACGTCGTTGCACAGCAGAGTCGTGCAGGCCGGCCTGCGACACTGCTGCCAGCCGTCTATCCCCACCAGCTTGCAGCAAGCTGCTTCTTGCGCTGCTGTGCTGCCCACCTGCCCTGCAGGTCTGGGAGACTGTGTGTGGAGAGGGCCATGGAGCTGGGGGTGGAGCCAGGGGTGGACTTCACCAGGCTCAAGCAGGGGGAGTCGGTTGAGCTGCCCGACGGCAGGGTTGTGCAATCCTCGGATGTTCTGGGGCCCGTCCGCCGCGGCAGGTGAAGCTAGTAGCGGGACGCACTGGTTGGTGGGGCTGGCAAGAAGAAGATGCACTGAGCCTGGGCACCTTGTGCCCGCTGCCTGCCAGCAGCTGCCCGCCTTTTCCCATTGGCTGCACCCTGCGCACTGCCGTTTTCACCCCGCCTTGCCCTGCCGCCCCCCGCTTCCAGGCGTCTGGCCATCATTGGCACCTGCCTGGACTCCTCCACCTTTGCCGCCTCCATGGCCAGCAGCGCCGCAGAGGGCAACGGCCTAGCCCCACCCTTTGACCTCGTCGTGCACAGCCTGTCCTACCCAGCGGGGGCGGCGGCCCATGAGGGTAGCGACGCGCTGCCTCGCAGCACGGCGGCCATGGCGGGCGCCACCGCGGCAGTCATGGGCGCAAAGGACCTGGTGCTGTGGCAGCAGGCGGCAGGGTTTCTAGATTTGCCGCAGGCAGCCGACGCGGGCTTCCCAGAGGAGGCCATCTACGCGGCGCGGGCGGCGCTGGGGTCTGACAACGTCTCCCTGGCGGGCTGCTACTGGTGCCACGAACCTGAGCGTGAGGATGGGCGCAAGCCCACCTGAGAGACAGTGCCAAAGCCACAGCTTAGGCAATAAACCGTGTTTCCAGTATTCTTTTGAGTTGCCTTCTGTTACACTGCTCGAGTGCCGCCAGGTCTTTTACACTGCTTCCGACCGACACGCAGGGCGGGCATGCATGGTGGCTAGGTGGTTGGAAGCCCAGCGATAAACCGCTCCAAAGATTTTGGCGCCCCGTGCAGCTCCAGGCCCATCCCTCTCAGCATGATTGCGTACAGCACGTGCGACAGCGCCACATACATGATGGAGTTGACAAAGAGCAGGGAGCAGAGGACGATCGCCACGGCCAGCAGCGGCGGCGACCCCGTGGTGCCCAGCAGCGCCGACAGCTGGTCCAGCAGCGCATACACGTTGTTCAGCATCAGCATCAGACTGTGCAGCAGGGGGGTGGGGTTGGTTGCGAGGAGCGGACTGGTGGGCGGACAGGCAGGGATGCCAGTGGGCAGGGCGGCAGGCAGCAGTCGCTGTGGCCAGCCCAGAGAGTGAGGCGGGGCAGCGCCTGCTGGGCAGGGGGGGGGGGGCACCCTGTTTGCTGCAGCAGTACCCCCGCCGCACGGCTCACAGGTTTTCGTTGGTGACCCAGGAGGACAGGGCGATGTAGGCCAGGTACCCGCCGATGCGCGCCAGCGCCCCCAGCGGTATGCTCACCACCCACGGAAGCCGCAGCGCCCAGCAGACGGCCAGCGACAGCGACAGAACGCCATACACCAGCAGGTAGGTGGTGGCGCGCACGGGGCCCATCAGGACTGCAGCACACCAATGGCCGTGCATCAGCAAGTGCATCTCGCCAGGGCTCGGCCTCATGTTGTGCCCTGGCTACGTGTGCCGGCCACATCAACAAAGCCCATCTGCGAGTCTCGAGCTGCCTTACCACACACCAACCGCACCCACCGCCAGCCTCACTTACTCAGCAGGAGCAGGCAGGTGACGGTCAGCGTCTTGACGGCCGGCACGGGTCCCGACCGCAGCGCCGACAGCACCACCGGCAGCGGCAGGATGTAGGCGAGGTAGCTCTCCAGCTTGAGCAGGTTGCCCACGGTGTAGGCCAGGCCTGTCACAGCCGCCAGCATGGCACTCTCAACCAGCTGCCGCGTCTTGTCCAGCGGGTATGGTTCTGCCAGACCCGGCAGGTCCGCCTGCTGCGCCGCAACCTGCTGCTGCGCCTCTTCCACCAGCTCCTGCCACCCCTTGGCCGGGTCGCTAGTGGATCCATTCTGCTGCTCTTGATCATCTGCACCCAGGCTCTTTGCCGCAGCAGGAGCTGGCACAGGGAGGCGGCGGCGGCACGGCGCTGCCTGCGGCGGCCGTTGCCGCTGCCGCTGCCGCTGCGGCCCCCAGCGCAAGGCGCCATCTGGGATCCATCCTGCAAGTGCATACAGGTGCTAGCAATTGTGCAGGGCTCATGGAGCTGTATAGAGCCTCTGTATTGAACCACGCCGCTTTTGCCCAGCGCAGTTACCTGGTCGCCAGGGAGTGGCGCGCTGCACGTGCAATACGAGTCTCATTTCTGTAAGATCTGTACAACAGAAGGGCACAAAGGAGGCCGTGGCTGCTTTACAGCAGGACAGGCCGTAGTGCACCCAGGTGCCTGGCTCGGGCAAGGCGCGGGTCCATCGCGCGTCCATCACTTCTGGTGCCCGTTGGCGAGCTCAGTTCAGCTCACAGGAGAGGGTCAGAGCGCCGCGCAGCATCAGCAAAGGCCAGGAGTCGCAGCCAGGACACAGCCGGCGGCATGGATGCATACGAGGTGAGCATGCCAGACTTCGGCAGTCATTGCGCAGCCGCCAGCTGCCCCGTGCATGGCCATCACCCAACATGCTCGGCTCCTGCCTGCCTCAGGCTGCAACTGGCATTGCAAAGATTTGCGCTGGCTGCTGCGTGGTCTGGCTGCTGTGTTGATGACCCGCCCCGCCACTTGGCCCGGCGGCGACCTCTCCCTGCCGCTTGCACTTTGGCTGCGCTGCTCCGTGCTGGCTGAGCGAAAGAGCGGCCAAGTCACTGTCAGCTTCCCACGCCTGAGACCCGTCTGAACGACTGCACTGCCATTGCCGGTGTGTGCCTGCAGGGCGGCTTTGCCCGCCCCGCCCCCGTGCCCAAGATGGTGGCCGATTTCTGCCAGTTCCTCTATCGCCACATCAGGTGCAGCCTACTATGCAGACCAGCCGCAGCATGTTTTCAGCCACAGACTGATGATCGCCGCAGGCGCCAGCCATCAAAAATCTCGGGCACCTCTTCTGCGCTGACAGCGCGCTTTGGGTGTGTTGTTTGTCCACCAACTGTCGCCTGCCCTTGCCCTCACACGCAGGGAGCGCAACATCAACGAGGTGTATGTGATGTACAGCCACACCTTCCCGCACCTCAGCGAGCGCTTCTTCAAGGGCAGCACCTGGCCCACAGTGGACTCTGTGCTACCGCTGGTGGATGGCGACCACGTGTTTGGGCTGCTGTACAAGGAGATGTACTACAGGTGAGGGGCGGCAGGGAGGTGGCGCGACGCACCTTTGCTGGTGTACATGGTGGGGTGGAGGATGGGCCGTGGGGGGAACCGAAGGGCACAGACTTAAGGAACTGGGAGAGCGCTGCGCAATTGAGACGGTGTGCGGGCCATAGAGCACATGCATCGCTTTTGCTGGCCCCCCATCCCGCAGGCACCTGTACGCCAGCACCAAGCCCACCCTTGAGCAGCGCATGGACTCATGGGACAACTACCGCGAGCTGTTCTCGGGTGAGGCACAACTCACATGGGCGCGGCACAACTCACACCTTGCACGGTTTGGGGTTGATCCTCGGTGCTCTGGTCTCTGTCCTGCCCACCCTGAGATGGGACTTGTTCGTGTGCCCCTGCAGTGATCCTGAACAGCAACCTCAACATGCTGCTGCCCAACCTGTGGCTGTGGGACATGGTGGACGAGTTTGTGTACCAGTTCCAGTCCTTCTGCCAGTACCGGTGGGCATGCAAAAGTGCCCATGCACAGGGCAGGGAGCCGCGCCAGCCGTGACATGCCAAAAGACGAGCAGAGTGATGCATCCCTGCGGGGGTTGATGTCCCAACGGCGCGTCCCCGCACGGGTTGATGCGCCCGAGGGGTCGTCCCCCCAAGGGTCCGATGCCTTGACACCCTGCTTTTTTGCACCTTGGCACATACCAACCATCAACCCTGCAATGAGCGGGCCGCAGCATGCCCCCTCGGCGGGGGCTATGAACTGCAGCCCTTTGCACGCTGGGCACACCCATCCCCATCCACTCACATTCACTCCAACCTTGCTGCTGGAGGACAAAGTTCATGGGTGCTGACCAGCGCTTTCCTTCTCCAAGCCTTTTAAGTTCTGCCCTGTCTATCGGCACGCTGGTGCAGGGGCAAGCTGGCGGGCAAGGCTCCCGAGGAGATTGAGATGCTGAAGAAGGCAGACGGCGTGTGGGATCCTACGGTAGGTGGCGACACGCTTTGCCGTTCACCCTGCTCATTTCGCCTTGCCTTCCTTGCCAACCACTGTCTTCTCCTCCGCTCCCCAGGCTGTTGTGGCCTTCCTGAATGAGTTGGTGACGCGATCGGCCATCCGCGAGGAGCTGGCGCAGCCTGGTGCGCAGCAGGCCAGCAGGCAGCCTACGCACCACTGCGTTGCATGCATGTCGCACTGTGCCACACTGCACGCTGCTGCGGAAACCGCTGGTGTGATGAGACGAAGAACCAATCACCATCTTTCGCATGAGCCCCTCGGGGCCTGATTACAACGTTCGAACCCCTGACCAGCCAGCCCTGTACACCCTCGCTTGCCATCCATTCCTTTGCATCCTTGGGCTTAGGCCCAATACTCGCTTGATCCGCTCCCTCACGCATCTGGGTTTTGGTTATTGCAGGCGCGGTGGACAAGCTGTACCAGACCGAGGGCTACGGCAGCATGGTAGGTGGCTACACAGCATGCACTATCACACAATGCTTACTCTGATGCCCGTATTCCCACCCATGACCGTGTTTGCGCCTCTCTCTTCCGTGTTGCCCTTGCAGTCCAATGTGCGCCGCATGCTGGGCTACTTCTCCCTCGTGGGCCTGCTGCGCGTGCACTCCATCCTGGGAGACTACACCACCGCCATCAAGGTAGGCCTCCTGGCAGCGTCCATGGCGGCCCACACATGCGCTCATGGCCTCAGCAGACAGAGGGCCAGACCTTGAGGTTTTACCTCTCACTCCGCCCCCTTCCCTCTTCACCCACTCTCGCAGTCCATGGCGCCGCTGCACCCCTTCCTGCGCAAGAGCCTGTTCACCACCAAGATCCCCATGTGCAACATCACGCTGCTGTACTACACTGGCTTTGCCTACTGCATGCTCCAGGTGAGGGCAACGCACGCAGGCGCCCGCAGCATCACGCACGCAGGCACCTGGCGCATAATCGGGCGCTGCTAGCACTCAACCGGGCACCCCGGGGACTTGCAGCGCTACCTGGACGCCGCCAAGTGCTTCAACTTCATCCTCACATACATCTCCAAGTGCGTGGGGGCGGCCCTGAGCGTTCTCGTTGGAGAGCCTTGCGGTCCGCTGCGTGACTGGCGGCTTCTACCCCGACAAGCCTCTACTGACACAAACAGTCCTGCTGCCTGCTGCAGGGCCAAGCACCAGGCCCGCGGCGCTGTGTATGAGCAGATCCTGAAGAAGAACGAGCAGATGTATGCGCTGCTGGCCATCGTGACGGCGCTGTGCCCCACCGCCAACCGCCTGCTGGACGAGGCGGTGACCAACACGCTGCGCGAGAAGTGAGCTCACCCACAATGATGCGCTTTTCGGGCTCTGTCCACCTGCATTGCATTCTTGTTCATCATGCGACCACACACCCTACGCTGCTACCTTTGCCGTGCAGGTATGGCGAGAAGGTTCGGTCGATGCAGGCGGGGTCCAGCGACACCTTTGAGGAGCTGTTCACCTACGCCTGCCCCAAGTTTGTGTCTGCCGCACCACCCGACTTTGCCAACCCGGGCGCCAACTCCAACATGGAGGCCTTCCGCGTGCAGCTCAGGTGGGGCTCCTGGCCCGGCAGCGCCAGGCCGCAGGCCGATCCAAACCCAGCCTGTATCCAGTATCAAAGGCCACGGTGCCCTCACCACATCCTGCCGCCCTCGACCTGCAGGGCGTTCATGAGCGTTGTGGAGGAGCGCAAGCACCTGCCCGCGCTGAAGCAGTTCCTCAAACTGTACAGCGTGAGTGCGAGCGTGGCAGCCATGCTCACCATGTAGATGTCGGGATCGTGCAAGGAATCGCCATTCATGTCGCTCTGCCTTGCCGACTCTTCTGGTTTGACTGCCACTGGTGCAGAGTATCCCCACCACCAAGCTCGCTAGCCTTGCGGAGATGGACCCTGCCACGCTGAAGCAGCAGCTGGCCCTGCTGCGGCAGAGCACGCAGGTGCGTTTCTGTTTAGGGGGGGGCTTTTCTCCTGATCAGTTCTGCTGGAGATAGTGCATGTTAGTGTGGCACGGTGTTGCTGCTGCTGGTGTGATGAGACTCAAGAACAACAATCACCATCTTTCGCATGAGCCCCTCGGGGCCTGATTACAACGTTCGAATACCTGACCACAGCCGGCTTGTGCCAGTTGCATCCATTCTCTGCTTGGTACCCGTATCTCCTAATAGTTATGCCGCCACGCTGCTGAGAACCGCAGTATTGTGTGTCCACCTTGCAGGTGGTGACATGGACCACTGGCGACCCGCTGGCTGGCACGGCAGTGACGGCAGGCGACATTGAGTTCAGGTATTCGCTTGCGGCAAGTCATTGCATTGGCTCATTTTCCTTTGCAACGCAGTTATTCAATTTCGGCCCCCTTCTGTGTACTGCAGCATCGAGCAGCAGGATGGCGAGGAGATGGTGGTGGTTGCCGAGCCAAAGGCCAAGACGGTGAAGGGTGAGCTGCACTGCGCATGATTGCTATCTCACGATAGGTTGGAACAAGGTTTTCTGTTCGCCGCCTGTGGTGCATCAACTCAGGCTGTGATTATCCCATGCGTGCAGGGGATGTGCTTGTAAGGCACATAGCGCGCTTTGAGGAGATCATTCGTGATCTGAGCGCCCTGCCGCAGCCGGGAGCCCAGCCGGTGGCCGCACACTGACTGGCGTGAGGCAAACGGGCGTTCGTGGTTTGCTGCTTTCTGACCGCACATTGATTGCACTGGAAGATTTTGTTAACACAAACAATCAATCTCAGTTTCAAGGTCAGTGGTTGGCGGCCAGCAGCGCCACCAGTGCTGTCCATCCCGTGAAGGGATGGCTGCCTTTTCCCTGGCCTGCACAAACAGCCAGCAGGAGTTCACTGTGTGGAAAAGGCGCTGGACTCAGATACGCAACACAGTATCAGGCAGGCAGGCTCCCCCTGGGCTGAATGCAGCCCGACGCACCAGTGGCATCATCGTACTGCTCCCACAGGTAGCCAGTGCGCTCATACTCGCGCACAATGTTCTGCAGCAGGTTGCGCCGCAGCTCCTGGTGCAGACCCGCTGCCTGCGACTGGTACGGGCCCACGGTGTCGCCATAATGTTGCAATGCCTGCAGTTGTGACATGCACGGGTCAGTGTTGTGCTGGCAGATTGCAGAGGCTCGTTGCATGACGCTCGACTTGCCTGTACTGCCAAGTAGTTGATATTGATCCAGATGGCACCCCTCCAATAGGGAGGATCGTGCTCGGTGTTGCGCTGCTGGTAGATGCTGGCAGAGCGACTGCAGTTCAGCACAAGTGATGGTGAAGTTGTTGGCTGCTGAACAGATGCCCCCCGGCCCCGCTGGTCCGGGTTCAGATCTGGGTGCTCACCTTAGCGATCTCAGGCCATAGTCTGTCCACAGGCGCTCTGGTTCCCGCAGCAGCACCAGCTGACGGCCCAGCGCCGGTGAGTCAGGGGGGATGAGGCGCATCAGCAAGGGAAAGAGGCTGATATAACCAAACTGCGCAGCAGTTGAGGAAGAGGAAGAAGACTTGATGTGAGGGGACTGTGCATCAAACAATCCCCGCAATCTAACCCTGCTCTGCACATCACCTGTGGCACCAGCTGCAAGCGTGGGGGCTGGCCAATCACCACTCGCTGCATGTCTCCTGTGGGCACTTGCCGCCCATCAGACAGCGTCGCCATGGGCCGCCGCAGCTCCACATCCTCTGCGGACCAACAAAGCGAGGCCAGAGCAACCACATGTATGAGATAGTGATCGTACTACGTTCAACAGAAAGTGTGATGCGACCAATCTCATCTTAAAATTTCGCCTCTTCACCTGTGTGGCTGCCCCAGTCTCGATATTCGCCGCTGGCCTCGTCCAAGTGCAGGGCGTTTAGCCGTTCAAAATCCTCTAGCCAGGCAGCAGACTCCAGGAACGGCTGCACCTCTGCAGTACAGGGGTGCAGGTGATAGCAAGCTTACAACCACAACCAGCAAGATTGTGGCTCGCTGGATTGCGACCCCGACTCTAATGGCAATGCCATTCCGTTGGCCCCCAATGTCTCACGTTTGTGGGGTAGACCCAGGTTGCTTCCAATGGTGGCTAGCGCACGGGTGGCCAGGGCCATCCAGCAGCGCAGATCCACATGTCGCTCATCATCTGTGCACCGCAGGGAGCAAGCAAGCCGTGAGCAATGCCAGCACGTGATGGATGCTGATTGCTAGCTCCTGCCGCAATCAGGCCAAACAACTGCTGGCCTGAGGCTATCCTTGCCTGAAGGATGCGACGCTCGAGGTGCATCGTCCAGACCCGAGGTGAGTGTCTTGGGGTTGAGCTCCTGCTGGTTGTTGGCATCCCGCCCACGCCAACGATAAGAGCCAGGCACAGGGCCTGCTTGTGTGCTGTTGAACCACAGGTACCAGGCGCTGCAGGCAAACCAGGCAATTTATTCATCAGTCAACATTCAAAAAAAGACCAAACACATGAGCATCTCCAAATGCCAAATGCTTACCGCAGCCGTGGCCAAGCGGCTTTTAGCAACTCGGCATCTGCTCGGTCAGCGTCGTCCCACTCGCGCGCCTGCAGCATAGCCACATGGATAGGTTGCAATGGCACAGAGCCGTCAATCAGTAGCTTCATGCAACAACCTGAGCATGCATGCAACAAACCATCTCCTCGCTCAGCCAACCTTTGCAGCGGCAGCTACACGCTGTGACATGTCAGAAAGCAGCAAGAAGAAGGTGGGCGGGTTTGCCGCATCGGGCGACTGCCGCACAAACTCGGCGGGAACCCTGCAACAGTTGAGTATGAATTTGGTGCAGGAACGTCCCCCCGTTATCCTTGTCAATGTGCAAAGGCCAGACCTGGCCCGCGCCTCTTCTCCCAGAATCTGCTCCCGAGCAATCCAGCCCTGTGTGTTCATCAAATCAAACCAGTGGCCTAGTATGTCCCGGCTGATGGCGGCATCCCACTGCCTGCAGCATACCGCGCATGTACTGATGTTTTTCGCTGTGCAGATGGGCAGGGTGCAGCCGAAACAATGGTGCAGTGTAACTACGCATATGTGCCTGTTGCAGAGTAGACGCAGCTTGCCTGATGAGCAGCTGATGGAATCCCTCATCCCACAGGAAGCCACGGGGGAAGAAGCTCCGGCTCGGCACAGCTGCACAGCTAGGCAACAGATCATGCAGAGACGCGGCAGGGCACATCGGGAGGGCAGTGCAAGCAGGCACCCACCCCGTCACCGATGTGAGCCCACCTGTGTAAACGCCCGTGTCCCAGAGCTTGGCCGTTGTTTCTACCACCTGGCCCTGCCGCCGCTGCCTCACGCGCACCAGGGAGTGGCCGAAGAAGTAGCCAATGCCACCCAGCATGTTGCTCAGCGCTGCTCGTGCCACAGCTCCTGCACCGCCAGGCAGCTGGGCCAGCGCCCGTGCGGCAGCACTGCCGCCAGCCAGCGACCCAAACGTGCCTGCAAACCGCTGCTCAAATGCCGCCGCCCCGGCGGCAAGCCGCTGTTTCAGGCCGCTGCCGCTGACCGCTGCCACCCGGCCTGCTAGATGCTGCCCTGTGGAGCCAGCCTTGAGGCCAGACACAAAGCTGAGGTCAATGGCCAGTGGCAGCACGGCGGTGACCTGAAAGATGGCCAGGTTGCTTCCTGGCTGGGTGGTGTCGGGCAGGACGAGGCGGTACTGCTGCTGCCCCGCCGCGTGCTGCTGCCGCACGCTGGCCATCACGCCCTCCCGCACAAGGTTGGTCAGGTTGTGCATGTGGGGCGTGGCCACCGCCAGGTAGTTGACGGCAAGTATCGCGCCGGGGGTGGCGCCAGAAGGACTGGTGCCCCGCTGCAGGTGCAGCTGCCAGTTGCCCACCGGCGCCGTCCTGCCGCTGATGACAGGCCGCAGCGACGCCTGAGCGGTGCCCTGTTGCTGCAGCGCCTCTGCGGCTGCTGCCGCATCAACCTCCAGCGCACCGCCATCCTCTGCTGCCATGTAGAACAACAGCGACACGACCTGCGGCCTCTGCTGCTGCTCCTCCAGCTGCTCGCCGCCCTCGTCCCCATCAGGCTCTGCATACTCGTCCTCCAGCAGTCGCCGCCGTGGCTGGTCACTGGCGCCAATGTGCCGCTCCTCGATGCTGACGCTGGCACCCCAATCGCCGCCCAGGCCGCAATCCGGGCACAGGTGTTTGGCCTGCACGGTGCAGTCGGCAGGTGCCAGGATGAAGCCAGAATGAAGCATGAAGCAGGGGCAGGTGAAGCATGGTATTGCTACTGGGTGCCGCGCCTGCCTGGCGAGAGCGTGTGCTGAGCAGTCAGGCATGCAAGCTGGCTGGACAGACGGCCTGCTGCGCACCCAGGCCGTGGTGATGTTGAACTGCTCATCCCACAGCTGCTGCAGGCCATAACCCTGGCCATCGTGCTGCAACCAGCCATACTTGGCAAGACCGTCGCGCTGCTGGGCCTCATGCCTGCGGACCAGGTCGGGTTGCGCGGCAGTGACGGCGGCGGTTGCATGAGCGCAGCTGGTTTGCGGGCTGGAGCCGAGCGGGCTGGAGCCGTGCGCACCTGATGTTGCCCAGGGGGTCCTGCCGCTGCGGGTCCACCCACATGAGGCCCATGAGCAGGGACTGGGGCCGGCGCATGCGCATGCCTGCACATCCCGTCAGTGGTGTTCAGCTCATGGAGCAGGTCCACAAGGGTAAGCGGCCCAGCTCGCAATCATGAGACCCAGCTGCGACGCGACAAATGCTGGCGGGGGCGCGCACCAAAATAATAGCCTGGCCGGTAGGTGCCCCACAGTAGCTGCTCTGCATGCTGCCCTTCAAACTGCGGCAGCTGCTTCAGCTGCCTACTTGGGAAAGGTTGCAGCACAGCGGGCTTGGCCGGGCCTGTGGCACCAGGCCAATGAGTCAGCAAGTGCAGAGTCAGGTCGGAGAAGCAACCAGCCTCTGCAAATGGCTTGGTTCACCGCACCTGACACAAAATGGACCACAGCCAGCACCGCTGCCAGGGCGGCCAAAGCGCTGATACCTGCAATCCAGCTGCCGCAGCAGCAGAGGGATCAAATCCAAGTGGCCAACATTGGGGTGCGGTGGGGCGCAAGTGCCGCCGCTGCCGCCACCGCTGACGGCGGGTCGGCTCACCCCTCAGCCATGGATTGCTCTGCTTCGATCGTTGTTGAGGACGCCGCTGTGAGGTCACGGTGCCGCCCTTTTGCACTTTGGCAGGCCTCTGCCGCAAGTGAGCGGGGGCCATGATGGCGTCGATCACTCCAGTTTGGCCAGCTGCTTACGCATGCCCTTGGCAACAATGTGGAAGGCCCTGCGAAGTCACTACAGAAGCCCACGACAGCTTGGCACAGCATGCAGCAATGTTGCCCGCCTGGCAGTCGCCACAGGTTGCGGCACCAGGGCATTCTTCATGTTTGCGATACAATTGCCTCCTCTTCTGCACCCATGGTGGATGAGGAGTCCTTCTTCAGCTTGCTGATCGCCAATGAGAGAGTGGAGAAGTGGTTGGCGGACATTCGGGCGAAAGAAGCGCGCCATCGCGTCAAAATTGCACTGGAGGAGCTCTCGAGCAGCTGTAATCAAGAAGCCTATGCCGAAGAGGTATGCAATGCGCCGGCATGCCTGAACTCTCTGCTTGAGCCGGAGGAGCAGGAGCAGCTGTCGGGGGCATAAGCATCGAGATGTATGAGAGCCGCCAGACAACGAGCGGGATGGCTTCGCCGGCGCCGGCGCAACAGTAGGCGGCGGTCGCAGGCGCAACTCGTCATGTGTTTGCCCCCAGTTAACTACTGCAGGCCAGAAGATTGGGGGCTGTGCAGGTGCTGACTGGGTTGCTGAAGCGCACGGGTGAGTATTTAGCTGTGCTGCAACAAAGCAACTGGCGGCCCCATCACGTGCCCACCAGGAGGCCGCACGCAACTGCATTTGCAGATGACGATGAGCTGTTGTCGCTGGCAGCAGATGCCCTTGCGGCTTGCAGCGGCCTCATGGCCAGTAGCGGCAAGGTAGCGCCGCCTGCATCACAAGGGCATTTTTCTTTCAGCAGAACATCTTTCCGCCCACAAATGGCGCCTAGCCCTTGATTCTCGCCCCTGCACCATGCCACTCAAGCCGTGGCCAACCATGGCCTTGGTTTATCACCTGAGGTGAGGCCCGTGCTCTCATTCTCTGCAGGTGCGCACCTTTACCTATAACGGGACCCCGATAATCCTCCAAGAGGGGGCGCTTGGGGATGGCATCGGAGCAAAGATTTGGACTGTAGCCCACACTTTCTGCAGGTTTGTGGTTGTTGTTTGGACGCCTTTTCCCTCCTTTCTGTGTTCGTGTGCTGTCTTGCATTACGATTGGTCTGCTGCGCTGACCCGGGCAACATCCTCACCGGGAGCCTGTTTGGTTTGTGGCAGGGAGATGGCCAGCCACCCAAACATTGTGCGCGGCAAGCGTGTGCTGGAGATTGGCAGCGGGTGCGGGGCCTGCGGCATCCTGGCAGCCAAGCTGGGGGCGGAGAAAGTCCTACTCACTGATTATGTGGATGCGGTGCTACGCAATCTGCGGGACTGTGTTCACCTCAACGGCGGCTGCACTGAGCAGGCAAATGGCCAAACAGCTGCGGCAAGGTGTGGTGCAGCAGAGGCGGGAGAGGAACGGCCAGAGGATTGGGACCCGGAAGATGCTAGCGAGTGCGGCAGCGACGACTTTGATGCGACCTTGGGCGAAGCGCTGGGGTGTGGCGCTGGCAGCACGCAACAGCAGCAGCGACAGGCGGCAGCATGGGACGCTCCACCCATGCACATTCGGTTCTACGACTGGCAGGACTCTGTGGCCCAGCTGAGCGAGCAAGAGCAGGAAGAACTGGCCGGCGTGGCGGGGGTGGCCGAAGGTGTGGCGGCAGCCGCTGCTCCGGGTGCCACCATCGACACCGCCAGCAACCACGGCGGCGCGCCGGACATGGATGCCAAGGAGCAGTTTGAAGTTGTTATTGGTACTGATGTCCTCTATGAGTGGTGAGTAGCGGCACAGCTGGGTAGCGGCACATCTGTAAGCTGTGACCATGCCGAAACACCGAGCGACTAGCCCCCCGCCACATACCTTTGTTTGCATTGCCGCTGCGTCTGATGCAGGCCGATGGTGAAACAGGTTCCGGCCGTGATCAAGCAGCGTCTGTTGCCCCACGGGAGCGCATTGCTGTGCTGCGCGGTCAGAGAGCAGGCCATGTTTGATGCTTTTGTGGCGGCTACGGCGGTGCTGGGCCTGCGGGTTGGCATCTCGTCCGTCTCCCCATGCGCGGACGATGCCGGGCTACTGGACATCAAGCAGGACTACGAGGGCGGATATGTGCTGCTTGCTGTGGAGCACGCTCAGGCCCCCGCAGATGACTGGCACCGGGCCGACCTCTTCCCCGGGCAGCGTGCTTGAGGTGCCTCAAGCAGCTAGAGAGCGACAGCAATCACAACGTGGCGGCGGCGGGAGCGGCAGCGGCGGCGGCGGCGTCATGCGGCTGGCAGACTTGTGCGCTGCTCATTGCCCTGGGCCGCGTTTTAATTCGCATATGATCTAGCACGTGAGGATGGGGAGAGGGAGGCTGCATCCAAGAAAGTGTGCTGAGCCTGGCCCGATCGGGCCCACTTGGCAGGGGCGCCGAATCGACCTGGCAACTTGTGCTCCATCCTCCTGTTTCCTCGCTAGTCAGGCATGCCACCCGTCGCCCTAAACCGCTGAAGAGGACGCAGCGGTGGCCTGGCTATGCCAAGCAACGAAGACCTGGGGGAGCACCAGAGGCACCTGGGCCTGCCTGAAGGGCTCAAGGGAGATGCGGAGGTGTTTGTGAATCGGTTCACGGGCGAAATCTTTGAGGACTACAAGTGAGTGAACATCATGTGGCTTCAGGGCTCCAGGGCTCCCTGAGGCGCCCTCCTAGCCCTCTGTAGTGATGGAACGGCGGCTGGAGGGCCGCTGACAGTGGGCAGCCCTCCCAGATGCCCCAAACTGATCGTCTGGGGATTCTGGCTGCAGGACCTACCTCCAGCAGCTCAACCACTACCGTCAGCGCATATGGAGCTGCAAATACACCGGCGCCAGCGGCCTGACGTACGAGGAGGCTGTCATCAGCGAGCAGCGTGTGGGCCGGGTGGTGGAGCAGGTGGGCCCGCGATGTCAGCCCGCCACCTCAACCTGCACGCTGTGGCTGGCACACCTACGCTGCCTGGCAGCAGCTGGCGGCAAGTGCTGCAACTTGAGCGCCGCTGCCAACAGCCATGGGGCGCGGTCCAGGCAGGGGTGGGGCGGGAGGGGCCGACCGCGTGTGCTCTCTGGCTGGTTGGCCTGATTCACGAGTGCGGCATCAGATGCACACCCTCCCTGGGGCAGCCGAGGGCAGCTTGCTGCCTTGCCACTTAAGGGGCAAACCGTTGCTCTGCGCCCCGCTGCCCGCCTCCCCAATGAGCGCAGTTCCCCAGCCTGTATGAGGCCGACTCCATCCGGCTGGTTCACCACTCGGTGGAGACCGCTGAGCAGCTGTGCGGCAGCATACTGGGCCACCTGTCCAGCCACTTTGTGCAGGTGCCTGACCCCGCAGCAGCTGTGCGATTGCTTCCGACTACGCTGCATCTGTGCCACAGCAATAGGTGGATGCGTGCTGACAATAGGTGGATGCGTTTTTTTCCTGTCGCGACACCGCTGCAGGACGAGGAGCTGGTTGGCACAAAGGAGGACGGAACCAGCGCACGCTGCATAGTGCGAGAGGTGGAGCACCCGCAGCGGGCTGCAGCGGCACCCGGCGCCCATGAGAATGGCGCGACTGGGCCCAGCATCCCGGCGGCTGCGGGGGAGGACTCTGAGGCCACCGAGGATGAGAAGGAGGGAGGCAAGGAGGACGAGGAGGAGGAAGATGAGGAGGCCGAGCAGCCGCCCGTGGACCCCGAGTCGATCATTTATGTTGTGGAGTGGCTGGGCGAGGGCGGCACGCCCACCGCCGAGCGCGCCAGCCTGTGCCGCACGCAGCTGCAGCGGCCGGAGGACTCACCTCTGGCAGCGCTCACCCAGCCCTTGCTGCAGCAGTGGGTTGAGACGGTCGCGACTGCGGAGCCTGTGGCGGTGGGTGGCCCTGGGGAGCTACGCTTGCATGGCTGAAGTGTGCCAGGGGGAATGTGTTTGCCCACCTGCTTGCTCTCTCCCCTACCTGGCGCATCTGTGCCTGGTGGCATCTGGGCAATGGGCAGCACAACTGTGCTGAGCTGCTACCCGCATGCGACTTGGCTGGCGTGTGTCCTCACTTTTCTGCTCCACTCTGCTCCGCTCGCCTGGCAGGGCGTGGCCGGCATCAGCTGCCTGTGGCGCGTGGCCGAATACTGGCGCCGCAAGTACGACCTGCCGGAGCAGCTGCCGCCAAAGATGGCGGAGCGGCTGCGCCCCGCCCGCCAGAAAGCGCTGCACAAGGTGCCCTCGCTGCAGCATGCGGCGGCTGGGGGCTCGGATGACGAGGTGGGGGCGGGCGACGAGGAGGAGGAGGACGATTACGACCCAGGTGGGCGCACGGAGGAAGCGAGGGAGGCTGAGAATGCGTGGATAGGATGACTGCCTTGCCTGGACTCCCAGCTGTTCGTTTGGCTCTGGTGCGAACCTTTCCCCCCTGTCTCGCCGCGCCCAATGCAGAGGAGGAGGAGGCGGAGCTGTATCAGGAGGCGGCGGCTGAGAGCGACTTCAGCGACGGCGGTGAGGGGCAGTGCCAGGGGTGTTCCACGGGTGGCTGAATGCCCATCCTGTGGAGCACTGGCTTAGCACCATCTGCCTCCAAACCAGTGCGTATGGGGGGCCCACACCCTAGCCTGTGTTTCCTGCTGTGCAGAGTACGCCCCCATGCATGCCAGTGTGGAGGCTCGCTTCATGCCGGCGCGGGGCCGTGGCAGGGGGCGCGGGCGTGGCAGGGGCCGTGGCCGCTGGGGCGGCCGTGGCGGCGGCGCTTATACTTACCAGCCCGAGGCCAACCCGGCGGCAGCAGCCTTTGCTGCTGCGGCCGTGGCAGCCGCGAGTGGCAGCTTCGGAGCGGGGCCTGCTGGCAGCATGGGGCCGCTTGGCTCCCGCAGCATGCCTGGTTCGGGGCAGGTGAGGGTGCAGTAGCGTGTGTGACATGGACAGGCTAGCTACAGTGCTGGGCACCCTGGCATGTTGCAGTGTGCCATGCCATCTTAACTGCTGCATCTGCTGCTGCGCTGCCCACAGCTGGACGGCCTGGACGGGGTTGGCCGCCAGGCGCGGCTTGAGCAGCAGCGGCAGGAGGTGCGGCAGCGGCTGGCCGCCGAGGCAGCAAAGCCCAAGTCGGACCGCAACAACTTCAAGTGCCCCAAGTGCCACAGGGTGCGGGCGGGCGCGCCTGTGCTCTCCGCTGCAGCTGCTGCAGCCGCCCTGTGTGCCGCACGGCGGTGGTGTGGAGAGCGTTTTGCTGGTGTTCCGAGGCACAGGCCTACTTGCTCTGCCTGCGTGCGCTGACCTGGCCAGCCTGCCCTGCCTGCCTCCTGGCTGTGCAGGTGGCCCATGTGGAGCAGTCGCCGCTGCTGCTGTGTGACACCTGCCCCCGCTCCTTCCACCAGGCATGCCTGGGCCTCAGCGCCGCCGAGCTGCCCTCAGGCGACTGGTGCTGCCCAAAGTGCGTGGACAGCACGCAGGCGGCGCTGCGGCGGGTGATGGATGGGGAGAGCCGGCGGCTGGCGGCCAGCGAGCGGGCGGCGGCGCGGGAGCGGGCCGCCGAGGACAAGGCAGCCAAGCGGGCGGTGCTCATTGACAGAGATCGGAAGAAGGTGTGTTGGAGAGTGTGTGGAAGTGTGCCACCTCGGTCGCAGCCTTAGCAGGCTATGCGCCTCAGGTAGAAGCACAGCCGAGTGACCAGGGGCGCTGCTGCTGCTGTTGTGCTGCTGCCGCCGCCCGGATGCAGCCGGATGATTGGGATGTGCTGGAGGAGGAGAAGGAGAATGTGAACCGCCTGGAGATCAGGTGGGGCAGCAGCTCCGCGCTGCCGCTCGCAGCTGCGGCCCGGGGCTGGAGCCGAGGGTGGCCAGCGGCGGCGCCGTGGTCGCTGTCGCCGGCAGCGCTGCTGCGGGGCCCTGCCCTGCCCCCGGCTGAGCACCCGAAACAAGCATGGAGCCTCCCCCCCGCCTCCTGCCCGCCAGGCTGCGCGAGCTGCAGGAGCTGGTTGAGCGCATCCAGCAGCAGCAGGAGGGCGCGCCGGGCCTGCCGCCGCAGCCCGCCTTCAGCGCCGCGGAGCAGGATGACCTGCGCCTGCGCATCGCCGAGGCGGCAGAGGCGCTGGGCAAGCTGCAGGTCATCATCCAGGGGCCCCCGGAGCACTACCAGGAGCTGGTCAGCGGGGAGCATGCGCAGGTGGGAGGGGGAAATGTGACCCTCGCCGGGCACCCCGCCGCGTGCTGCCTGCTTGTGCCCCCCACGCCCAGGCAGCTGCCCAGCGCTGTTGCACGCAACAAGGCTGCACACCCTCGCCCTTGTGTGCCTGCCTGCACCATCCATGTACGTGCCCTGCTCCTCTGCATTCATACTTGCGCTGCATCTCGCCCCTCCCCCACACCCTGCAGGCGATACTGTGGCAGGGCCTGGTCGCCACCGAGTTCCTGAAGCTGTATGGCGACGCGTGCGAGGCGCGCGCCATGGGCCTGCAGGAGCTCTACATCTCCCTGGCATGGCCCCTGGACAACCCCGAGCTGGCCAAGCTGCTGCAGCAGCTGCTGCTGGTGCGCGTCTGCGGTGTGGGGTGGGCCGGTAGCGTTTCTGGCTCAGCTGCTTCCCCAGCCTGTTGGCCACTTGCCTGACTTTGCCCACGCTGCGCCCACGCCTGCGCCCGCCTGCAGTGCTGCCTGCTGGAGCTGCTCAACCACGAGCCGCCAGAGCGGGGGCGCGCCAAGCGCTGGGCCCGCGTCCTCACAGGCGCGCCGCTCAGCCCGCTGTTGCCGCGATTCCAGGCAGCTCCCAATGGCGCTTCTCACCTGCCCTGGCTCCTGCTATCTGCTCTGCCTGCAGAGGGGACGTGGCCAGAGATCTGCCGCCGCTACCTGCTGTCCACCCGCGCCGGCAAGGCCGCACTCATCGAAGGTGGGCACTGCGGCATGCCCGTCCTGCCGCCGGCGAGGTTGCCTTGCCTTGCGGTGCCCAGCCTTCTGCGCCCAGCCTCCTGCGCTTGAGTGCCTGGCCTGCCGTGTCCGATGGCTGCCCCTGCAGGCGAGGGCGCCGACGTGATTGGCATGGAGGACGACGCGGCGGCGCTGCACCTGGCGCACCTGCTGGAAGGCAGGCCCTGGCACCGCCTGCCGCCCACCGCCCTGCTGCGCCTCCTCAACATCCTCTGCTACGACATTGCGCAGGCAGGCCTCTTTGCATGCAACCCTCCCCCTTGCTGCCTCTGCACAGACGCGGTGGCTGGGCCGCACCGCCTGCGCGGCTCCTTGCTCCATCCTGCTGGCTGCCGGCCATTGGCCGCCCCTTCTCCCACTGCCTGCTTCGCGGCCCTGGCTTGCTGACTTTTTTGCCTGGCTGTTGCTGCCTCTGCCCGTCTGTGCTGCAGGGCTATGCCCTGCGCAACGACATCAACAACCGCCTGCAGAACATCACCCACATCACAACAGAGCGGTACCGCGAGCACGCCGCCGAGCGGCGCGCCAAGCGTGAGGTGGGGCCGGGGCTGTGTTGGAAACAGGAGCAAGCAGCGGCAGCAGGCTCGTTAGACTTTGTGCGCGCACCAAAGATATGGAGCGAGTGTTTCGCATGCTGCAGGGCGACTGGGCGCCCGTGTTTGGCATTGGCAAGAAGCGGGGCGGGCGCGGCGGCGGCAGGAAGGGCGGCGGCGGCAAGCACGCGGAGCCGACTGAAGAGGAGCTGCAGGCGATGGCGGAGGAGGTGGAGGCGGAGGCGATGGAGGAGGAGGGCGATGGTGAGGCGGGGTGCTGGCCGTGCTGCGATCAGCCAACAGCTCAATGCTTGCAGACGTCAGGAGGACAGCAAGCAAGCCGGGGTGTTTCCTTGCTTGCTTCCATGGCTGCCGCCTCTGGGACTGGGACTAATGCCTGCATGCCCGCCCATCTGCCTGCCTGCCTGCCTGCAGACGACGCCTCCCGCTTCCGGATGCAGCGTGAGCTCGCATACGACGCACGCATGGAGGAGGTGAGGCCCTGGTGCCGGCCCCCGGCTGCTCTGCACCTGCCGATCAGCGCGGGGACGTGCTGGCATCGTGTAATCGCGCTTGATGCTGGGCAGCTGTCAGTGGGGATCCACATCGGCACTGGCTTCCCGTGCCTGCCCCCCGCCACCCCCACCCGCGCAGACTGCAATGCGCACCGAGCCGCTGGGCCTGGACCGGCACTGCCGCCGCTACTGGTGGCTGCACAGTGAGCGCCTGCGGCCCGAGCCTTCCTCCCTGGCTGCTGTTGGCTGGCCGCCAACCGCGCTGCATGGGAAGCTGGCTGGCCTGCCGTCGCTACGACTGCTGGCCGACTCCCTGTCCGCCCCCGTCTCCCCGCCCTCCTGCAGGCGACCCCGGCTTTTTGTTTGTGGAGGATGCCGATGGGCAGCGCATCAGCGCCATCACCTCCAAGCAGCAGCTGGACGAGGTGCGCTGCGTGGGGGCCCTGCTGCGCTGGCACGTGTGCGGGCACTCCCCGCTGCCCTGCTTGGCGGGGAGCCATCCTCGGAGTCCAGGTGCTGCTGCTACGTGCCTGTGCGCTTGCCCTGACCAGCCGCCCTCCGCTGCCCTCGCTCTCCACCTGCAGGTCATCTCGCGGCTCAACCGGCGCGGCCCTCGCGAGCGCCAGCTGCACCACAACATACGCAAGAAGTACCAGGCCATCTGCGCCCGCCTGGCGGTGGAGGTGGGGGGGCCGAAAAAGAGGGCGCGCGGCGCTGGCTGGGCACGCGGGATCCCGCCCAGCTGCGCCTCCGCCGTCCTCTGTTCCTGCTGCCGCTGCTGCCAGGCTCATGCTGCACTGGGCTGGCGCCTCTTCTGCGCTCCCCCACCCCTGCGTGCCACAGAGCAAGGCTGTGTACCGGCTGGAGGGCATCGAGCGGCCCGCGCCGCTGGACCCGCGCGCCGCACAGCCCGCCGTGGAGGAGCTGGCTGGGCGGCTGGAGGCTGCCGCGGCGGGCGAGACGCGCGAGAAGCTGGAGGCGTTCCTGGAGGAGACGCAGCGTGTGGGCGTGGACCTGGAGGGCAGCCTGGGGGCGCTGCGCCAGCGGCTGGCGGGCTGCGGCGACGCCGCCGCGCTCTGCAGCTTCATGCTGGACCTGGAGGAGGTGTACTGCCACGCGGGAGAGGGGCTGCCCAGGGGTGCGTGCCCGCCCGCGCCACGCGTGCCCCCCGCCCAGCCATGCGCAGCCATGCTGCGGCGCCAGCGTCGCCCCTGCCCAGCCTGCCTTGTCCTCGTGCATACCGCTGCGTGGCCGCCTGGTGCCGTCCCCTGCCGCCCCTGCCCTGCACCCAGCCTGCATGCCCCTGCGCTGCCGCCATGCTGCAGACGCCGACGAGCCCACCATGGCGGCGCTGCTGGGCGAGGCGCCTCGGCCGGCGGGCGTCAAGGGCGAGGAGCAGGATGATGCGCAGGGAGGGAACAACGCGGCGGCGGCGGCGGAGCCTGCCGGGCCAGCTGGCGAGGGCGTTAAGGCGGAGCCCGGGGTGGGGCCTGGCGAGGGCGGCGGCGCGGCGCCCATGGACGTGGATGGAGCAGGCGGGGAGGCTGGTGGGGGCCACCAGCACGCGCAGCAGGGGGATGGGCAGCAGCCGGGTGCCGGCATGCTGCAGGCCTCTGGCTCCTCGGCCATGCTGTTCAAGGAGGAGCCGGCCCCGGGCGAGGAGCGGCAGCCACGCGCGGCGCAGCAGCAGCAGGCGGCAGCGCAGCAGCAGCAGGCGGCAGCGGCGGGCGGGCCCGGGCCCAAGGCCCAGGCTCACAAGCCGCTGCACCCGTCTGTGGCCAAGCTGGCCAAGGCTGACAGCATGCAGCCCAGCAGCGCGGGTGTCAGCCAGTCGGGGGCGGATGCGGGCGGCACGGAGACGGAGCCGGGCACCACGGTGGACCAGCAGGGGCCTCAGCCGCTGCGCCCGGTGAGCACTGCCGCCTCTCGTGGCAGGCTGGCTGGCCGGGGTGTGCCGCCGCGCCCTAGGGCTGCTGACGCCTGGCTTGCTCGCCACCCAGCTGCGCTTGCCTCCTCCTTGCTGGCTGGCTGTGCGTGAAATCTGCCGCAGCTGGCTGCGCACCCCTGTCCCCATGTTGCCTCCCCCCCACTCATCCCCAGCCACCCACC